AGAGTCCCCAGACGCCAATGGGGCCCAGCCCAGGATGGCCGCTGAGACACCCCCAGACTCTTCCCCAGACCCCTCCCCAAGGCCCCCCTTGTTCCTTCTCAAGACCCCACCCAGGAGCCTTCCAGGACCCCCCAGAGCCCTCCCCAAAGCCCTGTGCGAACCCACCGCAGACCCCCTAAGACCCCTCCAAGGCCCCTCCCCAGACGCCCCCCAGAGCCCCCGGAACCCTCCCCAAAGCCCCCCCAGACCCTCCCCCGATCCCCTCTCGGGCCCCTCCCGCTCCCCTCCGCCTCAGCAGCTGCCGGAGCGCTCCCGCCCCTCCCAGCGCCTCCCGCAGGACCCGCCCGAGACCGGGGGGGGCCCGGGACCGGCAGGGGAGGGGGCGCCACTTCCGGCTCGCCTCTGATTGGCTGGGGCGGCGCGGGGGAGGCGGGCGTTATTGAGGAGAGACGCACGGTGATTCGTTGGTTTGTGGAATGCAGCGCGATGATTGGTCGGCTGGGCGGGGCGCGCTGCTATTGGCTGGGAGCCGGCGCACGCGGCGGAGGCGGGAGGTTGTGAGGGGAGAGCGGCTGAGAAGGAGCTGCGGTGGGGCCAGGGGGAAACTGGGGGGGTTTGGGGTGGGTCTGAGGGGAAATTGGGGATTTCTGGGGGCATTGACTGAAAATAGGGGGCTGTGCTGTGGGTTTGAGGGGAATTAGGGGTTAGGGGGTCGGAGGGAGCTTTGGGGGGAGCTTGAGAGTGTCTGGAGTGTTCTCAGGTGGGTTTAGGGGGATCTGAGGGGAATTGGGAGGGTCTGAGGGGATTTTGGGGGATTGCGAGAGAAACTGGGGGGTTGTGAGTGGATCTGGGCGGTTCTGAGCTGGGGAATTTCGGGGAGTCTGAGAGGATTTCATAGGGTTTGGGGGGAATTGAGGGGTCTGAGGGGGATTTGTGGCAGCCTGATGGATTTGGGGGGTCTCAGGTGGGTCTGGGGTGAATTTTGAGGGGAAGTGGAGGGGTCTGAGAGTCCTGGGGAGGTTTTTGGGGTCCAGGGTGGTTCTGGGCCAACACTGGGGGGCTCTGGGGGGTTTGGCGTTCCTGGAGGGGTCCCGGGGGAGATTTGGGGGTGCCGGGGCTCCCAGGCCCACCCTGAACTGGGGTCTGGGGGTTTCGGGGGGAGGGGGCACAGCAGAGGTTCCCCCCCCACCCCGTTTTTGGGGGGTCTCCCATGGTGCCCCCTCCCCAAAAAGCTCCCAGGGCCCCCTGAAGTGGCTCCTGTTCCACCGGCCGGTGCCCCCTGATCCAGGACGGCCCCACTGAGTCTGGGGGGATTTGTGGGGAGTTTGGGGTTTTGAGAGGGTTTTTGGGGATTTTCGGGGTGGCTCTTCCGGGCTTTGGGGGATTTTGTTGGGAGTTTGGGGGGAATCATTGGGGTTTTTGGGGAGAATTATTGGGTTTTGGGATGGTTATGTGATTTTGGGGGGTTTTGTTGATTTGGGGGGTTTTTGGACTTTGGGTGTTTTGTTGGGGTTTAGGTGGGGGATTTTTGGGGGGGATTTATTGAAAATTTTGGGAGTTTTTTTAAATTTTGGTGAGTTCCACTGGGATTTTTGGAGATCCTCTGAGGTTTTTGAGGGTTTTCTTGTAATTTTTGGGGATTTTGTGGGGTTTTAGTGGAATTTTAGGTGGGCATTCCCTGGGTGTGGGGAAGGGCTGAGAGGCACCAAAATCTCCTTAAAAGCCCCGAAAGTCCCAATAAAAACCAGAAAATCGCATTAGAACACCCTAGAATCCCAATAAAACCCACAAAATCCTTTGAAATCCCAATAACCCCAAAAATCCTGATTAAACTTCTCAAATCCCCAAAAATGTCCCCAAAACCATCAAAAGTCCCACAAAATCTCCCCCAAGATCCAAAGAAATCCTGGCAACACCCAAAAAACCCCACAAAACCCCCCAAATCCCACCAAATATCACCAAAAAACCCAAAAACCGCAATGAATACCTCTGAATGCCACCACAATTCCAATAAAATGCCCCAAAATCTCCTAAAAATCCCAAAAAAAACCCCAGGAATTTCTGAGAATCCCAAAAAATCCCAACCAAATTCCAGTAAAACCCCCAAAATTCCAAAAAAAGCCACAAAAAAATTTCAATAAACCCCCAAACCTCCCCAGAAAAACTCCCCTTCAAAATGCCAAGAAAATCCCCCAAAATCCAAACCCCCCCAAAATCCACAAAACCAGCCACTCCCAGTCAATCCCAGTGTGATTCCAGTTGCTCTCAATGAGATCCCAGTGTAACCCAGCATGGACTCAGCTGCTCTCACTGGGATCCCAGTGTGATCCCAGTTGCTCCCAGCATAATTCCAGATGTTCCCAGTTCCTCCCATTATGATCCCAGTTGCCCCAAGAATAGTCCCAGTCCCTCCCAGCAGGGTCCCAGTCGTGCCCAGTTGCCTCCAGGGTAGATTCAGTTTCCCCCAGCATCGTCCCAGTTGCTCCCAGCATGATCCCAGCTGTTCCCAGTGTGGTTCCAGTGCTCCCAGGATGGTTAGAGACACTCCCAGTATGTTTGAGTTACCTCAGAATGATCCCAGTCTTTCCCAGTTCCTCCCAGTTTCCTCTAGCATCATCCCAGTTTCTATCTGTTGCTCAAAGGGTGGCCCCAGTTGCTCCCAGGATGATCCCAGTTGCCCCAGTTGTAGTCTCAGTCCTCTCAGCATGGTTCGAGAACCTTCCAGCCGATCCCAGTTGCTCCCAGTGGGTCACATTTTCCTCCCAACATGGGCCCAGTAGCTCCCAGTAAGCCCCAGTCAGGTTCCATTCACAGCCAGTATAATCCCAGTATGAGTGTAGCCACTCCCAGTATGATCCCAGTCCCTTGCAGTCTAATCCCAGTTGCTCCCAGTCACTCCCAGTCTGATGCCAGTGCCCCCAGTGTGATCCCAGTTGCTCCCAGCATGGGCCCAGCTGTTCCCAGTGTGCTTCCATCACTCCCCTATGGTTACAGACACTCCCAGGATGGTCCCAGTTGGACCCAGTTGCCCCTGCTCTAGTCCCAGTCCCTCCCCATATGATCCCAGTCCCTCCCAGCATGGTCCCACTCACTCCCAGTTGCCCCCAGCACGGTCCCAGTTGTTCCCAGTGTGGTTCCAGTTCCCCCAGTGTGGTTCCAGACACTCCCAGTATATCCCAGTTGCCCCCAGCATGTCTGCAGTCATTTCCAGGCACTGCCAGTGGCCCCAGTAAGGTGTCAGTCATCCCTGTATGATCCCCCAGTCATGCCCAGTAGATCCCAGTTGCCCCCAGCAGACATCCAGTCCTTCCCAGCTACTCCAGTTTGCTTGCAGCATCATCCCAGTTTCCCTCAGCTGCTCCCAGTAGCCCAAACTGTGATCCCAGTCACTCCCTTTCAACCCCAATATGATCCCAGTAAGCTCCAGTTTGATCCCAGTCACACACCAGCCTTCCCAGTGTGGTCCCAGTATAATCCCAGTTGCTTCCAGTCTCTCCCAGTATGGTCCCAGCTGCCTCCAGCGTGGTTCCAGTTGCTTCCTAGATCAGCCCAGTCAGTCCCAGTATGATGCCATTTGCTGCCAGTGTGCTCCCAGTTGCTCCCAGTCAGGCCCAGTCTGGGGGATGATGTGCAGGGTGTGCTCCCAGTCACTCTCAGATCCTCCCAGTATTAGTCCAGTCCCTCCCAGTATGATCCAAATATGGCCCCGGTGTGCTCCCAGTTACTGCCAGAATAAACCAGTTTTGCTCCACATGGTTCCAGTTGCTCTCTTTCACGCTGACTTTCCTTCAAGTCTCCCCCAGTATCTCCCAGTGTAGCCCAGTTCCCTCCAGCATCTTTCCAGTTCATCCAGTATGATCCCATTTGCTCCCAAGCACTCCCAGTCAGCCTCAGTGTAGTGGCACTCACTGCCAGAATGATCCCAGTCACTCCAGCATGGTCCCAGTTCATCCCAGTATAATCCCAGCAGTTTCCAATCACCCCCAGCATGCACCCATTCAGTTCCAGTTCCTCCCAGTTGCTCCTAGCATGTCCCCAGTTCCTCACAGCGACTCCCAGGAACACTCAGCACCATCCCAGTAAATCCCATTTGTCCCTAACATGGTCTCAAGTGCCCCCCACAGGCTCCTACTGACTCCCAGTATGATCCCAGTATGATCCCAGTGTCCCTAGGTGCAATCACAGTCTGCCCTGATACAGCAGTATGATCCCAATATAATGGCGGTACAAACCCAGTAGAGTCCCAGTACAATCCCAGCATGATGTCAGTACAAAGCCAGCACAGCCCCAGTCACTCCCAGTACGATCCCAGTGCAGCCCAGTCCCTGGCAGTGCTGCCACTGCTGGGATCCCCCAGGCCTGTGCGCGTTCCCCCCTGGCGGATGTGCCGAGAGGAGCCCCAAGGGCTGGCAGGGGCCAGGCAGGGTCCCCAGCAAGGCCCAGTTTGGATGTGCAGCCCCCAGTTTGCCCAGTTTGCCTCTCCTTTGGCCCGGGCCGGGTTCCCCCCGCCCGCAGCGGCTGGGAGCAGCCGAGAGCCCCGCGCTGCCCATGCCGACCTGGCCCGGCTCCATCGCCGCTGCTGCCGCGGGCTGCGAGGGCTGCGGGAACGGGGCACCGAGGGTGTGGCTGCTGCTGGGGGAGGAGGAGGAGGGAGGGAAGGGTAGGGACGGAGGGGGAAGAGGAGGCGGGGTTAGGGGGAGGAGAAAAGGGAGGAGGGATGGAAGGGGCGGGATGGAGGTGGAGAGAGAGCAGTGATGGAAGGAGGAGAAGGAGGTGGGGTTAGGGGGGAGGAGAAAAGGGCAGGGATGGAAAGGGCGGGATGGAGGTGGAGAGAGAGCAGTGATGGAAGGAGGAGAAGGAGGTGGGGTTAGGGGGGAGGAGGAGGAGGAGGAGAAGGGATGGAAGGGGAGGGATGGAAGATGAGAAGGCGGTGGGGATAACAGAGAGGAGCGGGAGGGGGGATGGAAGAAGGAGGAGCGGGAGGAAGAGGAAGGACAAGGGCGGATCAAGGCTGAGCTGAGGGAACCATGCGTTCCAGCCCTGCCTGAATTCGCAGCCCCCACCTGTGGGATCATCGCCCCTCCCCCCCCATGGCTCCGGTGAGCGGGGAGGGGGAGCCCGGCCCGGATATCCCGGGGGGTCCCTGGGTTGGGTTTTTGGGGGGATGTTTGGAGAATGAAGAAGTCCAAGGCTGAGCGGAAAAGGCCCCTCGGGGGACATCGGGGGGGTGGCGGTGGCGGCTGCCGGCAGAGGCAGCCTGGAGGAGCAGAGCCCTGTGTCCCCCAGGAGGCCAAAGTGGGGAGCCCAGAGAGGGGGGAGCGCCGCCATTGGCGGGAGCCTCAAGAGCCTGGAGAGGGGCAGGGGGGACTCCTTGGAGCCGCTGCAGCCCAGAGCAGAGAATGAGGGGAGAAGGGAGCCCGGGAGCCCAAACAGCCCCAGCATCCCGAAATGGGGAGAGCCAAGAGGGGGGAGCTTTTGGCATTGCTGGGACTGCCAGCAGCCTGGGCAGGGCAGGCACCCAGGAGAAGGGGGACCCCCAATGCAAGGGTGACCCCAGCAGCTGGGACAGGGGGGAACCCCTGAACACCAGAGGGGAGGGACCAGGGACGGGGAACCCCTGGGAGGCTTTTTCAGGGCTGAATCTTGGTGTTTGGGAGGTTTTTCTGGAGCCCAGATGGCTGGTGACTTGTAGAGATGGACTTGGGCAGAGGGACATTGAAACTCAATGTGCTCATCCCTTGTTTTCTCCAAACCAGGATTTCCCATTGCCAACCCCTGGGAGGCTGCGAGGAAGAGGAAATGCTCCAGGGCACTGAAGCAGGTGAGGAGGAAGTCAGTGTCTCTGGAATGCTTAAATTTAGAGGGTTTTGGGAAAGCTTCAAAAGACAAGCCTCAGAGACAGTAGAACTGTGATTATAGATTTGCAGCAGCCATAAGATTGGTCAGCAGAAAAATTATATAAGAAGTAGAAAGTAAGGAGTAATAGAACAACGGTCTGTGCCTTAATGCTTATCTAGACTAACTCCCTAACCTGCAGAAAAGTATATATAGCAAGATATTAGGAAGTTCCAAGCTTAATAATGGAGCTCTGTTCATCGTGTTTTAAGGCTTACAAATAGGTATTGTGTTTGAAATAATGGAGCATGGAGCATCCAACCAATAGTGCTTGGATGGAACCACTGTCAATATGCTTTTGCTTTGTGTGATTGGTGAAAAACCTTTTAAAGTAAGTTTTAACATTAAGTTTTTTTTCTGCTACCTGGGATGTGAGCTGCTGGCATCTTCCCATTGTCATAACCAAGAAATGAGACTGATGCTGAAAAATAAAACAGCTCAAGACGCGTTCCTAGCAGTCCAGTCCTGTTTGTGATGTGTGCACAGCCGCGAGCTGGCGATGAGTGCCCCTCCTCTGTGCTCCTCCATCTCCCAGCCCAGCACGGCCCCCAGCTGCAGCACAGCCCTGGGGGGATCTCCTTGACCTTGCCTGTGGCACGGAGGCAAATCCCATCCTGTCCTTGTCCTTCCTCGCCCAGAGCAGGAGCTGAGCATGGAGAGCAGGGAGGACAAATGCCCACAGCAGAACCTGGTGGAAGAGGCTGTTTTGAGCGGCTCCATGGCGCAGGAAGCCAACGGGGAGGAAAAGCCCCGGAGATGCCACACAAGGAGGGGCTGCAAACGCAGATGGCGGGGATGTGAGGGGGAAAGAGGCAGCCTGGGCCGGGAAGGCGGCCGGAGATGGAGCCAGAGCTCAGAGCTGGTGCTCCATGAGCAGCTCCATGATGGGGAGAAGCCCCACAAGTGCGGGGAGTGTGGGAAGAGCTTCAGATGGAACTCCCACCTAATCCTGCACCAGAGGACCCACACTGGGGAACGGCCCTACGAGTGTGGGGAGTGTGGGAAGAGCTTCAGCAAGAGCTCCAGCCTGATCAGCCACCAGCGGATCCACACTGGGGAGAGGCCCTACGAGTGTTCCAAGTGTGGAAAGGGGTTTCAGACCAGCTCCCGTCTCCTCCAGCACTATCAGAGTCACACAGAGGAGAGGCCCTTCCAATGCCCCGACTGCGGGAAGGGATTCAGGCACAACTCCACACTCATCAAGCACCGGCGCATCCACACAGGGGAGAGGCCCTACGAGTGTGATAAATGCAGGAAGAGTTTTCAGACCAGCTCCCATCTCCTCCAGCACTATTGGATTCACAGAGAGGAGAGGCCCTTCCAATGTCCTGACTGCGGGAAGGGATTCAAGCGCAACTGCACCCTCATCACCCACCGGCGCATCCACACTGGGGAGAGGCCCTACGAGTGTCCCCAGTGTGGGAAGAGCTTCTCCAGCAGCTCTCACTTGACCAAACACCAACGGAGGCACCGGTAAGGGAAGCCCTGCGAGTGCCCCGAGGACGGGAAGAGCTTCGTGCGCTGCTGCAGCTCCATCCCCCACTGGAGGAGGCACTTTGGGCACAGCCCTGGTCACTCACATTCCCTGTGATCCATGTTGGGAACACACCTGGCTGAACTCTTTTTGCTTTGGCCTTAATTTTTTTTTTTCTCCATGTCTTTGCACGCCAAAAGACAAGATGGTTATATCTGTCACCACAAAACAACCGTAATCCCACTGAAAACACCTCAGTATTACCCCAAAAGGGCTCATTCCCACCTCAGAAAACCTCAATTCCACGCCAAACCTACTCGATTCCACAGCCACCAGGCTGAGATGGGTTTGGGAGGAGACAGGCAGAAGTGGGATCCCATTTTGGAGCGGTGGGTTGGGGATTGTGTGGGGCTGGATGTGTGGGATGTATTTGATGGCAAATAAAACTCTCAGACTTACTGATTTCTTTCCCGTTCATGTTCAGTCTGTTGCAGTTCGGTTTGCAGAGTGCCGCCTCCCAGACTGTCCCCTCAGGGTTGCCGCCCTTGGCCTGAGCCCGCCCATTTCCCCTCACGGTTCCCGCCCTTTCCCCGCCCCTTTTCCCCTCACGGTTCCCGCTCTTTCCCTGCCCCCTTTCCCCTCACGGTTCCTGCCCTTTCCCTGCCCCCTTTCTTCTCACGGTTCGGCCTTCGGGAACGGGGGAGGAGGAGGAGGAGGGAGGGAGGAAGAGGCCAAGCGGTCGCAGCACAAAAGGAGAGGGAGAATCTCGTGGCCCAGGCGCTCCCTAAAAGTGCCACAGCCCCGGGAGCATCGGCCCCCATTTTGCAAGTGCCCGGGCAGGGGGAGCGCGGCCCAAATATCCCGGGGGGTGCCTGGGTCTGGGGTTGTTTGGGGGAATGTTTGCAGCTTGCAGGGCTCCAAAGCCGAGCCGCAGATGGCCCTCGGGGGGACATCGGGGGTCCCCGGGAGGTGTTTTTGGGTGTCCTGGGGTCTGCAGAGGCTGCTCCCAGTGTGAGCCTAGTTCATTCCCCCGTGTGCTCCCAGTTTCCTCGGCACTCTCAGTATGAGCCCAGTCACTCCTAATACGAGCCTGGTCACTCGCAGTATGAGCCCAGTCACTCCCAGTATGACCCTGGTCATTCCCAGTATGAGCCCAGTCCCTCCCGATATCAGCCCATTCACTCTAAGTCATTCCCACTGATGCAAGTTGCTACGAGGAAGATCCCAATTCATCCCAGTTCCTCCCATGTCGCCTTCATTTTCTGAGATTTTCTAAGGCTTCTGATGTTTGCATTCATGCAGCAAACTTTGTCACAAACTTTGTGAAAATAACTTAATATTTCACATTCTTTTATAGAAGAAGAAAAATTTGAGAGATTGTTACTTTGTCCAGTGTCGTTGGAGTGGTGGCACTTTCACCCTCCAATCCACTGTCACTTTTAAAAAACTATAAATGTTAGAGTCAGAAAATAAACTACCCTTTTCTTCACCTTGAGAGTAGCAGTGTGTGCGCTCATATTTTTTTGTGTCCTATAGCATCACTCCCACTTTCATCCAGTGTGTTCCCAGTTCTCCAGTTACCCCTGGCATAATCATTGTCACATGCAGTATGTTTCCAGTATAATCCTATTTACTTCCAATCTCTCCCAGTATGGTCCCAGCTGCCTCCAGCATGGTTCCAGTTGCTTCCTAGATCAGCCCAGTCAGTCCCAGTATGATGCCATTTGCTCCCAGCGTGTTCCCAGTCAGACCCAGTATGGGGGAGGATGTGCAGGGTATGTTCCCAGTCACTCTCAGTTACTCCCAGTATTAGTCCAGTCAATCCCAGTATGATCCAAATATGGCCTCAGTGTACTCCCCGTTACTGCCAGAATAAACCAGTTTTGCTCCACATGGTCCCAGTTGCTCTCTTTCACGCTCACTTTCTTCCAGTCACTCCCAGTATCTCCCAGTGCACCCCAGTTCCCTCCAGCATCTTTGCAGTTCCTTCCAGTATGATCCCACTTGCTCCCAACCACTCCCAGTCAGCCTCAGTGTAGTGGCACTCAGTGCCAGTAGGATCCCAGTCACCTCCAGAATGATCCCAGTTCATCCAAATAGAAGTCCAGCAGCTTCCAACCACCCCCCTCATGCACCCAGTCACTCCCAGTTCCTCCTAGCATGATCCCAGTTGCTCACAGCTGCACCCAGTTATCCTCAGCACCATCCCAATCACTCCCAGTATATGCAAATTGCCCATAACATGGTGCCAATTGCCCCCAGCAGGCTCCTACTCACTCCCAGTATGATCCCAGTATGCTCCCAGTCTGATGTCAGTACAAACCCAGTAGATCCCCAGTCACTCCCAGTACTATCCCAGTATGATGGCGGTACAAAGCTAGTACAGCCCCAGTCACTCCCAGTACAATCCCGTATGATGTGAGTACAAAGCCAGTACAGCCCCAGTCAGTCCCAGTACGATCCCAGTGCAGCCCAGTCCCTGGCAGTGCTGCCACTGCTGGGATCCCCCAGGCCTGTGTGCGCTCCCCCCTGGCGGATGTGCCGAGAGGAGCCCCAAGGGCTGGCTGTGGCCAGGCAGGGTCCCCAGCAAGGCCCAGTTTGGATGTGCAGCCCCCAGTTTGCCCAGTTTGCCTCTCCTTTGGCCCGGGCCGGGTTCCCCCCGCCCGCAGCGGCTGGGAGCAGCCGAGAGCCCCGCGCTGCCCATGCCGACCTGGCCCGGCTCCATCGCCGCTGCTGCCGCGGGCTGCGAGGGCTGCGGGAACGGGGCACCGAGGGTATGGCTGCTGCTGGGGGAGGAGGAGGAGGAGGGAGGGAAGGGTAGGGACGGAGGGGGAAGAGGAGGCGGGGTTAGGGGGAGGAGAAAAGGGAGGAGGGATGGAAGGGGCGGGATGGAGGTGGAGAGAGAGCAGTGATGGAAGGAGGAGAAGGAGGTGGGGTTAGGGGGAAGGAGGAGAAGGAGGTGGGGTTAGGGGGGAGGAGGAGGAGGAGAAGGGATGGAAGGGGAGGGATGGAAGATGAGAAGGCGGTGGGGATAACAGAGAGGAGCGGGAGGAAAGAGGAAGAGGAGGAACAAAGGCGGATCAAGGCTGAGCTGGAGACGCCGCACGGCCGAGCCCTGCCTGAATTCACAGCCCCCACCTGTGGGATCATCGCCCTCCCCATAGCGCAGGTCAGCGGGGAGGGGGAGCGCGGCCCGGATATCCCGGGGGGTCCCTGGGTTGGGTTTTTGGGGGGATGTTTGGAGAATGAAAAAGTCCAAGGCTGAGAGGAAAAGGCCCCTCGGGGGGACATCGGGGGGTGGCGGTGGCGGCTGCCGGCAGAGGCAGCCTGGAGGAGCAGAGCCCTGTGTGCCCCAGGAGGCCAAAGTGGGGAGGCCAGAGAGGGGGGAGCGCCGCCATTGGCGGGAGCCTCAAGAGCCTGGAGAGGGGCAGGGGGGACTCCTTGGAGCCGCTGCAGCCCAGAGCAGAGAATGAGGGGAGAAGGGAGCCCGGGAGCCCAAACAGCCCCGGCATCCCGAAATGGGGAGAACGAAGAGCGGGCAGTTCGTCCCCGGGCATGCCCTGGGGAGATCTCGTTGCCCTTGCCTGTGGCACGGAGGCAAATCCCATGCTGTCCTTGTCCTTCCTCCCCCAGAGCAGGAGCTGAGCATGGAGAGCAGGAAGGACAAATGCCCGCGGCAGAACCTGGTGGAAGAGGCTGTTTTGAGCGGCTCCACAGCACAGGAAGCCAACGGGGAGGAAAAGGCCTGGATATGCCGCGCGAGGAGGGGCTGCAAACGCAGATGGCGGGGATGCGAGGGGGAAAGAGCCAGCCTGGGCCGGGAAGGCGGCCGGAGATGGAGCCAGAGCTCGGAGCTGGTGCTCCATGAGCAGCTCCATGATGGGGAGAAGCCCCACACGTGCGTGGAGTGTGGGAAGAGCTTCAGGTGGAATTCCAACCTAATCCTGCACCAGAGGACCCACACTGGGGAGAAGCCCTATGAGTGTGAGGAGTGTGGGAAGAGCTTCAGCCGGAGTTCCAGCCTGATCAGGCACCAGAGAACTCACAACAGGGAAAAGCCCTATGAGTGTGGGGTGTGTGGGAAGAGCTTCAGGTGGAGCTCCAGCCTGACCCTGCACCAGAGGACCCACACGGGGGAGAAGCCCTATGAGTGTGGGGAGTGTGGGAAGAGTTTCAGTGACAGCTCCAGCCTGATCAAGCACCAGAGGATCCACACTGGCGAACGGCCCTACGAGTGTGGGGAGTGTGGGAAGAGATTCAGCTGCAGCTCTTACCTGATCAGGCACCAGATGATCCACACTAGGGAATGGCCCTACAAATGTGGGGACTGTGGCAAGGGTTTCATTCAGAGGTCCCACCTGATCAGCCACCAGAGGATCCACACTGGGGAACGGCCCTACGAGTGTGGGGAGTGTGGGAAGAGGTTCAGCTGCAAGTCTGACCTGACCAAGCACCAGAGGATCCACACTGGGAAACGGCCCTACGTCTGTGGGGAGTGTGGACAGAGCTTCAGGTGGAGGTCTGACCTGATCAGCCACAAGAGGATTCACACTGGGGAACGGCCCTACGAGTGTGGGGAGTGTGGACAGAACTTCAGAGAGAGCTCCAGCCTCATTAAGCACCAGAGGATCCACACTGGGGAGAGGCCCCATGAATGTGGGGAGTGTGGGAAGAGCTTCCGCTTGAGCTCCAGCCTGATCAGGCACCAGAGGATCCATACTGGGGAAAGGGCTTTCAATTGTTCGGTGTGTGGGAAGGGCTTCAGCCAGAGCTCCCACCTCATCACGCACCAGAGGACCCACACTGGGGAGAAGCCCTACAAGTGTTCCAAGTGTGGGAAGGGGTTTCAAACCAGCTCCCATCTCCTCCGGCACTATCCGATTCATATGGAGGAGAGGCCCTTTCACTGCCCTGAGTGTGGGAAGGGATTCAGGCACAACTCCACCCTCATCACCCACCAGCGCATCCACACAGGGGAGAGGCCCTACGAGTGTGATAAATGCAGGAAGAGGTTTCTGAACAGCTCCAGTCTCCTCCTGCACCAGCGGATTCACACAGAGGAGAGGCCCTTCCGCTGCCCCGACTGCGGGAAGGCGTTCCAGCGCAACTGCAACCTCGTCAAGCACCGTCGCATCCACACCAGGGAGAGGCCCTACGAGTGTCCCCAGTGTGGGAAGAGCTTCTCCAGCAGCTCTCACTTGACCCAACACCAACGAAGGCACCGGTAAGGGAAGCCCTGCGAGTGCCCCGAGTGTGGGAAGAGCTTCGTGCGCTGCTGCAGCTCACAGATGGGGATTGTGTGGGGCTGCATGTGTGGGATGTATTTGATAGCAAATAAAACTCTCAGACTTACTGATTTCTTTTCCATTCATGTTCAGTCTGTTGCAGTTCTGTTTGCAGAGTGCCGCCTCCCAGAGTGTCCCCTCAGGGTTGCCGCCCTTGGCCTGAGCCCGCCCATTTCCCCTCACGGTTCCCGCCCTTTCCCTGCCCCTTTCCCCTCACGGTTCTGTCCTTTCCTCGCCCCCTTTCCCCTCACGGTTCCTGCCCTTTCCTTGCCCCTTTCCCCTCACGGTTCCTGCCCTTTCCCTGCCCTTTCCTCGCCCCCTTTCCCCTCACGGTTCCCGCCCTTTCCCTGCCCTTTCCTTGCCCCTTTCCCCTCACGGTTCCTGCCCTTTCCCTGCCCTTTCCCTGCCCCTTTCCCCTCACGGTTCCCGCCCTTTCCTTGCCCCTTTCCCCTCACGGTTCCCGCCCTTTCCCTGCCCTTTCCTTGCCCCTTTCCCCTCACGGTTCCTGCCCTTTCCCTGCCCTTTCCCTGCCCCCTTTCCCTTCACGGTTCGGCCTTTGGGAACGGGGGAGGAGGAGCAGGAGGGAGGGAGGAAGAGGCCGAGCGGCCGTAGCACAAGAGAAGAGGGAGACTCTCGTGGCTTGGGTGCTCTCTGGAGGCGCCGCAGCCCCGGAAGCATCGCCCCCCCATTTTGCAGGTGCCCGGGCAGGGGGAGCGCGGCCCAAATATCCTGGGGGGTGCCTGGGTCTGGGGTTGCTTGGGGGGGATGTTTGCAGCTGGCAGGGCTCCAAAGCCGAGCCGCAGATGGCCCTTGGGGGGATATCGAGGGTCTCGAAGCCGGCAATGGCTACTCCCAGTATGAGCCAAGTTGCTCCCTCTGTGTGCTTCCAGTATGGGCCTGTGCACTCCCAGTATAATCCTGGTCCCTTCCCCTGCCTCCCTGCATGATCCCAGTCACTTCCAGACGAGGTCAGTGACCTCCCACTCCTTCCCTATGCTGGTGCAATTTTCTCCCAGCATGGTCCCAGTTGCACTCACTTTCATCCAGTGTGTTCCCAGTTGTCCCTAGCATAGTCCTAGGCTCTCCCAGTACGATTCCAGTCGCACTCAGAAGGGCCCCCGTCATTCCCACTTGCCCCCAGAGTGTTCCAGTTCCCCCAACACATTCCCCGTCGCTCCCAGTCTGCTCCCTGTCCCACACCCATAGGGTCTGAGACCCTCCCAGCAGTCTCCAATCACACCCAGCATGCAGCCAGTCACTCCCAGTTCCTCCCAGTTGCTCCTAGCATGTTCCCAGTTGCTCACAGCTACTCCCAGTCATCCTCAGCACCATCCCAGTCAATCCCAATATATCCCATTTTTCCATAACATGGTCTCAATTGCCCCCCGCAGGCTCCTACTCACTCCCAGTATGATCCCAGTCTGATGTCAGTACAAACCCAGTAGATCCCCAGTCACTCCCAGTACGATCCCGTATGATGTGAGTACAAAGCCAGTACAGCCCCAGTCAGTCCCAGTACGATCCCAGTGCAGCCCAGTCCCTGGCAGTGCTGCCACTGCTGGGATCCCCCAGGCCTGTGTGCGTTCCCCCCTGGCGGATGTGCCGAGAGGAGCCCCAAGGGCTGGCAGGGGCCAGGCAGGGTCCCCAGCAAGGCCCAGTTTGGATGTGCAGCCCCCAGTTTGCCCAGTTTGCCTCTCCTTTGGCCCGGGCCGGGTTCCCCCCGCCCGCAGCGGCTGGGAGCAGCCGAGAGCCCCGCGCTGCCCATGCCGACCTGGCCCGGCTCCATGGCCGCTGCTGCCGCGGGCTGCGAGGGCTGCGGGAACGGGGCACCGAGGGTGTGGCTGCTGCTGGGGGAGGAGGAGGAGGGAGGGAAGGGCAGGGATGGAGGGGGAAGAGGAGGCGGGGTTAAGGGGGGAGGAGGAGGAAAGGGAGGAGGGATGGAAGGGGCGGGATGGAGGCGGAGAGAGAGCAGCGATGGAAGGAGGAGAAGGAGGTGGGGTTAGGGAGGAGGAGGAGGAGAAGGGATGGAAAGGTGTCGGATCGGCGGAAGAAATGCGGCACACAATATGCCTGATCAGCAAGTCTCAAACTTTATTGATAGTTCACACATATTTATATTGGTGTTAATGAAGCTTATACATATTGCAAAGCTGAGCTCATTATTGATTAATTACTTATCGGTCAACCACGCCTACTTCTATATTCTTATGGTTATTTTGTTACTACTTCTACATTTGTGTGGTTATTCTGCTGAAACTATCCTCATATTTTTGGCAAAAGATCCTCTCCTCTTTTCTGTTCTTGCAGCAAGGTCGCATCAGTGGACACTGACTGCTGACTCCTAGACTTGCTTTCTTCTATCTTAATCAGCGGTATCATGTCTACGTGACCTTTCTCAGCTAGCCAACTGTCCACAAAGCTCTCCACACTGAGGAGAGCTGCTGCTCCGAGGCACCGAGGGTGTGGGTGCTGCTGGGGGAGGAGGAGGAGAGAGGGAAGGGCAGGGATGGAGGGGGAGGAGGGGGCGGAGTTAAGGGGGGAGGAGAAGGAAAAGGAGGAGGGATGGAAGAGGATGGATGAAGGCAGAGAGAGAGCAGCGATGGAAGGAGGAGAAGGAGGTGGGGTTAGGGAGGAGGAGGAGCAGAAGGGATGGTAAGGGAGGGATGAAGAGGAGAAGGACATGGGGATAAGACAGAGGAGGAGGGGGGATGGAAGCGGAGGAGCGGGAGGAAGAGGAAGAGGAGGGAGAAAGGCGGATCAAGGCTGAGCTGAAGGCGCCGCACAGCCGAGCCTGCCTGAATTCGCAGCCCCCACCTCTGGGATCATCGCCCCCCCCCCCCATGGCTCCGGTGAGCGGGGAGGGGGAGCCCGGCCCGGATATCCCGGGGGTCCCTGGGTTGGGTTTTTGGGGGGATGTTTGGAGAATGAAGAAGTCCAAGGCTGAGCGGAAAAGGCCCCTCGGGGGGACATCGGGGGGTGGCGGTGGCGGCTGCCGGCAGAGGCAGCCTGGAGGAGCAGAGCCCTGTGTCCCCCAGGAGGCCAAAGTGGGGAGCCCAGAGAGGGGGGAGCGCCGCCATTGGCGGGAGCCTCAAGAGCCTGGAGAGGGGCAGGGGGGACTCCTTGGAGCCGCTGCAGCCCAGAGCAGAGAATGAGGGGAGAAGGGAGCCCGGGAGCCCAAACAGCCCCAGCATCCTGAAATGGGGAGGGCCAAGAGAGGGGAGCTTTTGGCATTGCTGGGACTGCCAGCAGCCTGGGCAGGGTGGGCACCCAGGAGAAGGGGGACCCCCAATCCAAGCGTGACCGCAGCAGCTGGGACAGGGGGGAAACCCCTGAACACCAGAGGGGAGAGACCAGGGACGGGGAACTCCTGGGAGGCTTTTTCAGGGCTGAATCTTGGTGTTTGGGAGGGTTTCTGGAGCCCAGATGGCTGGTGACTTGTAGAGATGGACTTGGGCAGAGGGATGTTCAAACTCAACGTGCTCATCCCTTGTTTTCCCCAAACCAGGATTTCCCATTGCCAACCTCTGGGAGGCTCTGAGGAAGAGGAAGATGCCCCAGGGACACTGAGGCAGGTGAGGAGGAAGTCAGTGCCCCTTTCCCCTCTGTGCTGCTCCATCTCCCAGCCCAGCACGGCCCCCAGCTGCAGCACAGCCCTGGGGAGATCTCGTTGCCCTTGACTGTGGCACGGAGGCAAATCCCATGCTGTCCTTGTCCTTCCTCGCCCAGAGCAGGAGCTGAGCATGGAGAGCAGGGAGGACAAATGCCCACAGCAGAACCTGGTGGCAGAGGCCGTTTTGAGTGGCTCCACGGCGCAGGAAGTCAACGGGGAGGAAAAGCCCCGGAGATGCCACACAAGGAGGGGCTGCAAACGCAGATGGCGGGGATGTGAGGGGGAAAGAGCCAGCCTGGGCCGGGAAGGCGGCCGGAGATGGAGCCAGAGCTCGGAGCTGGTGCTCCATGAGCAGCTCCATGATGGGGAGAAGCCCCACACGTGCTTGGAGTGTGGGAAGAGCCTCAGGTGGAACTCCAAGCTGATCAGGCACCAGAGGATCCACACTGGGGCAAAGCCCTACGATTGTGGGGGGTGTGGGAAGAGCTTCAGGCAGAGTTCCCACCTGACCCATCATCAAAAGGTCCACACTGGGGAGAGGCCCTACGAGTGTGATAAATGCAGGAAGAGGTTTCAGACCAGCTCCAGTCTCCTCCTGCACTATCAGATTCACAGAGAGGAGAGGCCCTTCCAATGCCCCGACTGTGGGAAGAGATTCAAGCACAACTCCCACCTCATCACCCACCGGCGCATCCACACTGGGGAGAGGCCCTACGAGTGTCCCCAGTGTGGGAAGAGCTTCTCCAGCAGCTCTCTCTTGACCCAACACAAACGGAGGCACCGGTAAGGGAAGCCCTGCAAGTGCCCCGAGTGCGGGAAGAGCTTCGTGCGCTGCTGCAGCTCCATCCCCCACTGGAGGAGGCACTTTGGGCACTGTCCTGGTCACTCACATTCCCTGTGATCCATGTTGGGAACACACCTGGCTGCTTGTCCTTTTTGGTTTGGCATTAAGTTTTTTTCTGATTCATCTTCATCCCTTAAAAACAGCCAAAACAGTGTTAAAAGAAAGAAATTGATCAAAGATGTCTAAAGTCCCACAATTTCAGAGTTTTTTAAAGGGAAATTGATGGTTTGGGGAAAATATTCTGGAGGATTCGTGTGGTCTGGGGGGGGATTATGCGCAGTGTTCTCCATCTCTTTGCACTCCAAAAGCCAAGAGGGTCACCTCAAAACAACTGAATCCCACTGAAAACAACTGAATTTTAATTCATACAGGCTCAATCCCACATCAAAATGCCTTGTTCCCACCCTAAAAAACTCAGTCCCACGCCAGACTCCCTCCATTCCACAGCCGCCAGAGTGAGATAGGGTTGGAAGGAGATTGGGAGAAGTGGGATCCCAGTTTGGAGCGGTGGGATGGGGATTGTGTGGGGCTGGGTGGGTGGGATGTATTTGATAGCAAATAAAACTTTCAGAGTTAGTGATTTCTGTCCCATTCATTTTTAGTCCATTGCAGTTCTGTTTGCAGAGTGCCACCTTCTCAGCTGATTGTGTTTGTGTCCTCCTTTCTCTCCTGCCTCTCTTTGCCTGCTCTGTTTCTCTCTCAGTGTCTCCCTTGAGCCAGGGCAGCTGCCACCAAAGACCCTGCCCTGATTTAATTCCCAGTGCAGGAGCTACAACAACCTTGGATGAAGTTCTGAAGGCTGGCAGTGAAATGTCACTGTAAGATCTTGATCCACTTGGCTTTTGGCCCCATTTAAGAGCTTTGCCTTCAAGGGCAGGAACATCTTTTCCTGGCTGGGAACTGGAATTCCAGGTCCTTGGAGTGTGTGACATGTGGGACCATACAGACTGGGGTCATGTGGACTGGGATTGTATGGGCTGGGACTGTACAGACAGGGATCACGTGGACTGGCATTTCATAGGCTGGGACCATGGGGATTAGAAGCCGAGACTGGGATCATACAAATTGGACCATATGGACCGGGATGGCTGCACCGGATCAATGTGAACTGAGGGGGTCCCGCCCTGCCCAGGGGTCCCTCCCCATCCTGCCCGGGGGCACAGCCAAAGCTCCCCGGAATGAACGCAGAGGTCCAGGAGGGATCCCAGTGCCAATCCCATTTCCAGTCCCATTTCTGATCCTGGTGCTGGTCCCAGAGTAATCCTGGCACTGATGGCGGTCCCAGTGCCACCCTCGGTCTCTGTCTCAGTCCCAGAGCACTCCTGGTGCTGATTCCAGTCCTAGCATTGATCTCAATCCCAGAGCGGTGCCGGTCCCAGTCCCAGTCTTGGTACCGTAGCAGTGCCAGTCCCAGTCTCAGTCCCAGTCTTGGTCCCAGAGCGGTGCCATTCTCGGTGCCGGTGCTGGTGCTGGTTTCAGTGCTGGTCTCAGTCTTGGTCCCAGAGCGGTTCTGGACCCAGTGCTGCTACTGGTGCTGGTCTTGGTCCTGGAGTGCTCCCAGTGCCAATCTCAGTCTCAGTCCCAGTCCCAGAGTGCTGCCACTCTCGGTGCTGGTTCCGGTGACGGTCTCAGTCTCAGTCCTGGAGGGCTCCCGGTCTCGGTCCTGGTCCCGGTCCCAGAGCAGTCCCGGTGCGGGTGCCGGGTTCCAGTCTCGGTCCTGATCCCAGTCCTGGAGCGCTGCCGGTGCCAGTCCCAGTTCCAAAGCGCTCCTGGTGCTGGTCCCAGTGTCAGGCTTGGTCCCAGTCTTGGTCCCAGTGCCAGTTCTGGTGCAGGTTCTGGTCTGGGTCTCAGTCCTAGTCCCGGTGCCGGTCCTGTAGCGCTGCCAATCCCAGTTCCAGTGTCAGTCTTGCTGCTGGTGCTGGTTCTGCTGCTGGGTTTGGTCTTGGTCCCAGAAATTTAGGTCCATTTGGGTGATTTTAGGCCAAACTGGGCAGGTTTAGGGTGGATTTCAGATCCCTTGCAGTGATTTCAAGCCTTTTAGGGTGGATCTTAGGCCCCTTTGCGGATTTTAGGCCAAATCTGTTGGGTTTGAGGGTGGATTTTAGATCCCTTTGAATGATTTATGCCCATTTGGGTGGGGTTTGGGCCTGTTTGAGTGATTTTAGGATAAACTGGGCAGTTTTAGAGTGGATTTTAGATGCCTTTGGCTGATTTTAGGCCCATATGGGTGGATTTTAGTCCTCTTTGGGTAATTTTACCTTTTAACGGTGATTTTAGTTCCCTTTGTGTTATAGATGGCTAATGAGATAATTGGCTCTCACAATTATGGGATGGATACTGTGTGAATATTAAGAGAAGCTTTATTGATGTGTGATTATGTTATTGCAGTCTGTTGTTTAGATGTCCTCTGTTCTCCCCACAATCCCTTTCCCCCCATTGTTACCATCAGACAGCCTGAGCCATCCAGGACAGGTGGAAAGAAGGCGAGAACAAAAACTGGTTCCTAGGGGAGGGGGCGTGGCATGACAGCACCTGACCCTCCAATCAAGCTGCAGGAAAGCAGACTCCACCAATAAACAGCAAAGAAGGGTTGACTGACAGACTGTGGGCAGGGCCAGGGTTGGCTGATGCAATCCCGGGGTATCAAAGGCGAAGCGTCCATCTTGAGGACGAGCCAGGCACGTGGCAGGCAGCCATGAGGGGAGCTCCCAGGCCTGTTCTTCCTTATTTAGTCCTTTTCTTGTCATTTTTGTTAAGGTTGAATAAACCTTTTAAAATTTTGAAAGTCAGCAGTCGTTTCTCGCAGTAACCAAGGGTTCCTTTCCTGGAGTTTGGTGCACAGGAGAAACACCAACAATATATTCTCAAGAAGTCAAAATGACACAAAATTTTCCTGGCAAAGTACAGAAAATCAAGAAACTTTGGAAAAAGATTTAATAAAAAACATCCAATTCAACATAAAACACCATAGCAGTAACTTCATTAACTCAGCCTGTTGCACCTGGAAATGTGTAATCACTTCAGTTGTTGAGGTATCAAAAAATGTTCCATATCAAGAGCATTAGAAGGAGAAGACAGAGAGACAGGAAGACAGAAGCTCTATAAAAAGAAACGCACATGGCTACCAACTGCTGGGGTTCCAGCGTGGGTGAGACACAAACCCCAGCCACGGAGCCCTTGTGACACATCAAGGCCCCTCTGGAGCAAAGAAACCATTGCTGACAGTCCAGAAACTCATGGAACCAAGGGGCCCTTTTGACAACGCAGATCCAAGGACACCATGGTGGCACTATGGAACCTCATGGGAGCAAAGAGACCATTGTGACACTCTGGTGCCTCACGGAATCAGGGGGACCATTGTGAAACTCAGGCCCCCTCTGGAACCAAGGGCCAAGGATGAAGCTGTGGGGCCCGTGGAACCAAGGAGCCGTTGTGACACAGCGGGGCCACAGGGAGCCGAGGGGCCATGGGGACATTGCAAGGGCTCAGGGAAGCCAAGGGGCCGTTGTGACACTGCAGAAGAAAGGAGAACACTGTGACACTGCAGGGACTCCTGGAATCAAGGAGACCATTGGGACACTGTGGGGCCTCATGGAACCAATGGCACAGGGAGCAGGTGTGGCTGGTTTGGCCTCCCGGGGGCTGCTGGACAGGTCTGGCTGACCTTGGCATGTGGAGGGCTGCTCCTCATCTGCCCCTGAAGCACTGGGGCTCTGGGCTCTCTTTCCTATGGGAGAGAACTGTCCTGATCCTCCTCCAGGGCCCTATGGCCAAAACTGAGATTCCTTCTCCAAATTCCCTTACATGCAAAGATTGTTCCCAGATGAAATCTGCCAGGCGGGAGAGATCTGGCTCCCTTGCCTACCTGGGGGCACCTCTCATCTGCCTTTGAAACCCTGGGACCATGTGCTTTTATTTCTTGTGGGAAAAAACCCTCCATCTCAACCAGGCACTCATGGCCAAAACTGGGCAACTGCCTCTGGAATTCCTTATATCCAAGGATAGCTCCCAGACAAAAGCTGCCAGCACTGACAAGTCTGGCTGGCCTTGGCTTCCTGAGGGCTGGCCCTCATCTGCCTCTGAAACACTGGGGCTGGGTGCTTTCCTTCCTATGGAAAAGAACCGTCCTTCTTATCTATGCAGAAAGGGCTGAAACTGGAGTTCCACTTCCCAAATTCCCGATATCCAAGGGTTGCTTTCAGACAAAAGCTGCCAGGACAGAGAGGTCTGGCTGGCCTAGGCCTCTGATGGCTGCCTTTCATCTGCCCCTGAGACACCACCGGTGTTCTGTGCTTTCCTTCCTATGGAAAAGAACCATCCTTCTCCTCCAGTGTCCATGTCTGAAATTGGGATTCCACCTCTGAAATTCTGAATATCCAAGGGTTGTTCCCAGGCAAAATCTGCCAGTACCGTCAAGGCTGGCCAGCCTGGGCCTCTGGTGGCTGCGCCTGCAACAGTGGGGCTGGGTTCTTTCCTTCCCATGGAGATCCCTGGGACACTGTGGGGACCTCATGGAACCAAGGGGATCATTGTGGCCCCACTGGAGCCCGTGGAGCCAAGGGGATCATTGTGGCACCACTGGAGCCCATGGAACCAAGGGGATCATTGTGGCCCCACTGGAGCCCATGCAACCAAGGGGATCATTGTGGCCCCACTGGAGCCCATGGAACCAAGGGGATCATTGTGGCCCCACTGGAGCCCATGCAACCAAGGGGATCATTGTGGCACCACTGGAGCCCAGGGAGCCAAGGGGCCATGGTGACACAGAGGGGCTCCATGGACCCAGAGACCATTGTGGCTCTGTGGGGCTCCATGGAACCATGGAGACCAGTCCAATCTTCAGGGCCTCGTGTCACCAAGGGGGCATTATGACACCTCAGGGCCTCATGGAAGCTGGGGACCATTGGGACACTGTAGGGCCCCATGGAACCCAGGGAACATGGAACAGGTCTGGCTGGCTTGGCCTCCCAGGGGCCACCTGACAGCTCTGGCTGATCTTGGGATGTCAAGGGCTGCCTCTCATCAGCTCCTGGAGCACTGGGGTGTGGAGAGCTTTGTGGACAGTTGGATAGCTGAGAAAGGTCACGTCAACATAATACCATTGGTTAAGTTAGAAGGAGACAGGTCTAGGATTCAGCAGTCAGTGTCCAACCACTGACAAGGACATTGTGCCGTTGGTGCAACAACAGGATAGAGGAGAGGAACTTTTGCCAAAAATATGAGGATAGTCTCAGCAGAATAACCACAAGAATGTAGAAGTAGGCGTAGGTGGCCGATAAGTAACTAACCAATAATGAGCTCAGATTTGCCACATGTATAACCCTTATTAACACCAATATAAATATGTTTGAACTATCAATAAAGTTTGAGACTTGCTGATCACTCATATTGAGTGCCGCATTTCTTCCACGGATTTCCCACACTGGGGCTCTGTGCTTTCCTTCCTATGGAAAAGAGCTGTCTGAATTTTCAGATGCCCATTGCCAAAACGGGTACTCTCCCTAAAATAATTTCCTCTATGCAAGGGCATCTTGCAAAACAAAACCTGCCAGCTCTATCTGGCCTTGGCCTCTGGTGGTCACCTCTCATCTGTCTCTGAAACACCGGGGCTCTGTTCCTTCATTCCTATGGAAAAGAACCAGCCTTCTTGTCCAGGGACCATGGCCAAAATTAGAATTTGGCCTCCCAAATTCTTTATATCCAAGGATTGCTCCCAGTCAAAAGTAGCCAGGACAGACAGGTCAGGCTGGCCCTGTCCTCTGGTGATTTTCGTAGACTCTGAGCTGAATGTTTTCATTTGGAAACACCTTGGAGAGGGCCCAGAGACGTCCCAAAGAGGGGTTTAGAGGCCTTGGGAACATGAGCACTGTATAGGGACAAAGGAGCTCTGTGCTCAGTGGCTTGGAGACTGAGGACAGTGGAGCAGAGCCATGAGAATGTTTAAAGAGCGATTTCAGGGATGGTGGATCCTTTTGACATAGTGGAAAACAGTCAGAGAGAGAAAGAATTAACGCCAAGGGCAGCTGGGGAGGCCCAGAGTGGCTGCAGGAGAAAGGAATTTCCCTGTCAGGGCAGGGCTGTGGTGCAGCACGTCCCCAGCAGGAGCCTGGAGCAGCCCCAGGCTTTGTGTGGGCAGGCAGGGGCAGGCAGGAGGCAGAGCTGTCAGCAAAGGAAGGGCCCAGCCAGGTGGGGCAGCCGGGGGATGCCCAGAGCCTGCAGGGACAGAGGCCAGGGCAGGGACACCGTGGGACAGCCTGGGCTGCACAGGGCACAGGGATGGGCAGCAGCTGCAAGACAGCCCTGACAGAGCCAACCTGGGCAGCACTTTGGCCATGGCTGCTGGCCCTGGACCTGAGCCAGGAGGGGACAAGTGACCCTTGCAGGCCTGGGGCCTCATTGCCTCCTTGTCCCTGCTCAGCAGCCTGGCAGGGGCTGCCCCACGCTCCTGCCCTTGGCATTGCCCATCCCCACATGCCAGGGCCCATCCCGGGAAGAGCCCTGAGCAAGGAGGGAGGGACAGGATCTGCCTGGCCAGGCCCTGGGGCTCAGGCCTTGGCCCTTTACATTCCTGAAACAAATCCAGGTTTGCTCAGCACCAGAGACACCTTTGCCTTGTTTGTCCCCAGCTGCCATCGGAGCCTCCAGTGTTCTGCTCTCTCTGGAACCCGGGGACACTTTCTCAGCCCTGTTCATCAGAGGGATCTCTTTAAAGTACAGGAAACTTCAGTATTTCAATCTCACTTGGAGCTCTTGAAAAGTCTTTGAGCCCACTCTGAGGGACTGGGTGGGATGCAAAGAGCAGCAGAGGCCCAGAGGGTGATTAAAGTCCTTGTGCTGTGTCTGTGCTGCTGAGCTGGGCCGGGCTCCTGGCCCAGAGGCAGCTCCTGGCAAGGGCAGCAGAGCTGCAGAGAGACAGCTCTGGCCAGGAGCAGCTCCTGTGCACAGCCCAGCAGGGCTGGGGCACTGCCAGGGCCCCTCAGGGACACGAGCAGGGCACAGACAGAGCTCCCAGGGGCTCAGCACTGGCCGGGGCTGTGGGATGTCCCCGCGGGGGCTGTGTCACAGCAGCACCTCTGGGGCTGTGTCCCAGAGCCACAGAGCAGCTGGGATGGCAGCAAGGGGCTGTGGGACAGCACAGAGTGGGCTGTGTGACAGCACTGAGGGGGTTGTGACATCACAGAGCGAGCTGTGACATCACAGAAGGTGGCTCTGGGACATCACAATTAGGGTTGTGACAGAGAGTCACGGAGCAGCTGTGTGATGTCACAGAGAAGGCTGTGACATCACAGGGTGACTGTGACATTACAAATCTGCTGTGGGACATCACATAGTAGCTGAATGACATCATATGGAGGTTGTGTGACATAACAGAGTGGTTGTGTGACATCACAGGCGCTGTGTGACATCACAGGCGCTGTGTGACATCACGGGGGCTGTGTGACATCACAGGTGGCTGTGTTAATAAAGCCTCTTATCTGGCTTTATTATCAAGCAGTGCAAGGTATTCCATGGGATTCACTACACTGTGTGACATCAGAGGGGCCGTGTGACATCACAGGGGTAGTGTGATTTCATGGGGGCAGTGTGACATCACAGAGATGGCTGTGTGACATCAGTGGGGCTGTGTGACATCACAGGGGCTATGTGACATCACAGGGGCTGTGTGACATCATGGGGGGTGTGTGACATCACAGCTGTCACTGTGACATCACAGGGATTGTGTGACATCAGAGGGGCCATGTGACATCACCGAGGCAGTGTGACATCACAGAGATGGCTGTATGACATC